ATGAACGTGAGTGCATTCGCCGTCTTTGACATGTGTGTGCTGATGATTTACCCCGTACCTTTCAGTGGGCGAAGCAGTACCAGGTCGAGGAGAAGAAAGAAACATAGACATTGCATATCTCGCATTCCAAATATCACATTCAATCCTGCACGCACTCGCTCTTTTTGTTGAACTTGAGGCGAGAATCACCACCGATTCACTCCCATGCTCTTGGACACTAGCTATTGGCGGTCAGAACTCAATGGCTGGATGATCGCGACTCGTTCCTCTCGAATGTTTGCATCACTCACTCGGTTCCCTTGTCACACCTGAATGTCAAGCTTTCACCTTGAACAGTTTCCTCGACCATGACTCTGAGTGCAGTGGCATAATTCAGTTGCAGCAAACGCTACCTATCATGTGACTGGTCGCGGACGCGCGCCAAACAGCACGCCCCGTCCTCGTTGCCAATTCCAGACTTAAGCTTAAGGATCAAGCTTCGATCAGGATGGTAGCATCTCTCACACGATCTCTCATCCCAGCATACAAGCATGGAAGGATTCAACGGCATTGTGCACGGTGAGCAGGGAGAACTGCTGCACCTGCCTCTGGAAGAAGTCTCGGTCAAAGTGTTAATCTGCGATGGTCAGTGTTGGCCACGTGTATCTCCAATCTACTTGTACAGCAAACTAGATCTCACATTGGTTGCTGATATAACTATACAATTACAGTAACGGCCCGGGTGCTCCTCACGCAGAAATACGCCAATCCCGCTTCCTCCGCGACTGGCCGTGCGAAGTATGTCTTTCCCGTGCCATCCCGAGCCGCAGTCTGCGCGTTCGAGCTCACGCATGCTGACGGGCGCGTCATCGTGGGTGAAGCGAAGGAGAAGACCAAGGCTGCAAATGAGCATGATGAGGCATTGAAGGACGGCAGGTTTACGGGCCTGTTGGAGTGGGCAACTGATGATGGTGGGTTCTTTCCCCGTGGGTTATCAGTCGAATGTGGTCTAACTGAACAGCCAGTGTTTACGATTTCAATTGGGAGTATACCTGCGCGGGAGAGTGTCACTACTAAGCTTGTGGTGCGTCTGTTCCTGCCCGGGGTACCGTTGTCCACCCGCAGGAACTGACTATATCTGGCGAATGCAGTACGTCCTGGACTTGATGGAGGACGAGCACCCTAACCAGGTCCGCTTCCAGCTCCCGATGGCCGTTGGCGAGCGATACGGCACCCCTCCCCCCGCCCTTTCAGAGGCTGCTCCCCCCTCTGCGCGCAGCTGCCTCCGGATCACCGCCGACATCCAAATGGCCGGGCGCATATCCAGCGTCAGCAGCCCCACACACGCCCTCAGCCCGCTCATCCCGCGCAAGACGCAGACCGGCCGCGCCTCGAGCAGACGCACCACCGCCGTATTCCGGTCGGCAAGTTTTCTGCGCAAGGACTTCGTGCTGGTGATAGAAGCCCGGGGGCTGGATGCGCCGCGGTGCCTCGCGGAACGCGATGAGCGCTCGGGGCGGCTGGGGACGATCGCGATGCAGCTGACGCTCGTGCCGAAGTTCGAGCTGCCCCCGGTCCCGGCGCAAGAGTATCTGTTCGTGGTGGATCGCAGTGGGAGCATGGCTGGGGAGCGTATGAGGACCGCTAAGAGGACCCTTCGGATTCTACTGCGCATGTTGCCGAATGCAGGCGACGGGACGGGGAAGAAGACGAAGTTCAATATTTGGAGTTTTGGGAACTTGGCGGACAGTATGTTCGTCGGGGGGAGCAGAGAGTATACGGGAGCAACATTGAACGAGGCCGTGAGTCCCTTTGGATATTTCCCACCTTTTCTCACTGTGGCTGATCTATCCTGGTGGTAGACATCCCATGTGGATCAAATGCATGCTGACTACGGAGGGACCGAAATCCGGTCCGCTCTTGCTCTTGCTCTGGGATCCAGGGATACCTCTATGTCCACAGTAGTATTCGTTCTCACCGACGGCGAGGTATGCTGTGGTTTTTTCACTACTCCGATAGGTTGCGTATTGATATCCGTGCGACTTTGATAGGCATACGACACCGAAGAAACTGTCAACGCTGTGTCTAAATATGTTCACAGCGCCTCGCCGTCCGCGCCCCTGCGTGTCTTCACATTGGGTATCGGCGAAACAGTCTCGTCTGCAATGTGCGAGGGGATCGCGCGGGCTGGAAATGGCGTGTGCTTGCTCGCGTCCTCGACCGAGACCATGGTCGGCAAGTGCGCGAGGCTGTTGCGCGCAGGACGAAAGGGTGTCCTCGAAGACGTCACTTTGGATTGGGGTTTCGGGAGCCAAGAAGGTCAGTGATAACGCCAATCCTCGATATCGATGTCGATCTGAAAACTGATTCTCGATAGTGATACACTACGAGCAAACCCCACAGCAAATCGACCATCTGGACCCCGGGTCCCGGTTCAGCATCTTCCTGATTGCGCGCCTGCCGCGACGTAGCAGAAACAAAGTACCGAAGGACGTCACTCTACGCGCGCGGGTGAACGGAGCCTCCAATTCTGCAACAATCGAGCATATTATCCCGGTAGATCTGGTCAAGCCGTTCTCGGAGGACTCTGCCTCCATCCCACTGCTGCACACGATGGCGGCTCGCCGGCTGCTCACGGATTATGGAGACGGGCGCGTTCCCGGACCCTTGTTTGCCGATGTGCTTGGAGATTCGACAGGGGATGTGACAGGAAAGGTTGGGGTGTTCATCGGTGAAGAGTACCAGCTAGCGAGCAAATACACCTCTTTCGTCGCTGTCGAAGGTGCTCCAGCTCGCGCGCCGTCCGGGAGAGAGCTTTATGGCTCTCAAAGAAGACGTTCACAGCACCAAAGCATCGGGAGTGGCAGCGCGGAGGGTTCTAGCTCCCTGGGGAGCATTGCCAATGCTGCATTCACAGCCATGGGCTGGGTGGCTGGCGGCCTTGGCGCTGTCTTCAATCTGTTTGGAACGAATTCAGAGCCACCCCTGCGACGCTCTTCTCGCGTTCCTGGCGCGTCTAGCGTCTCCAACGAAGCGTCGGTGTCCCGCACAGATACCGTCAACAGTGAAGCTTCGCGATCCACCATGAGCTCCCTGGTGAGCTCGGAATCCGATTGGGACTCCTCAAGGACTGCTACGCCCAGCCCGCCACCTTCCGTGGACGAAGCTCCAGCCCGAAGTGCCTCTCCTCTCCTGCAGGCGCAGCCACAGCCCCGTCGACGCCAACGCCAAGAACCGCCGCGGCCGCCTATATCCCCCAAGGTCATAGACCTCGTGCAGCTGCAGGCGTTTGACGGCTCGTTTGACCTGAGTGATGCATTCGGCGAGATTGTCGGGAGAGAGAACATGGGACGCGCGGCGGAATTCGGGGTGTCCGAGAAGGTGTGGGCGACCGCGCTTGCGGTTGCGTTTATGAAGAAGCATCTAGCGAGGGAGCCTGACTTGTTGGAGGGCCTTCTGGACAAAGCGATGGAATCTGTGGGCGGGGGTGCCGGGCTTGACTTTGACGCAGTAGTGGCCTTGGCGAGGGCGCTGATCGTGTGAGGGCAGCGCATTTGATTAGGTACTATACATCCGACCCATTATAAACATATGATCAGCGCGCGATCAGGGTATGGAATACGTATACAGTAGCGCAATGAAACAGCCATGATACAGAACGACATCTATGTCCAACCTTTCTTAGGCCTGGTGCTTTTTCTCGATCTCCCGGCTAGCCCACGCATTCAGGGGCGATGGGAATAAGCGTTCGTCCCCCAGCTCGTGCAGCAGCGTGTCGTCGTGCGCCAGTAGGACGACGACATTCTTCGCTTTGTGCATGGCTTTCACCGACTCGAGGGTAGTTTGCGCAACCTCGATATCGACATGGCTTTCCCGGCTGACCAGGCGCTCGCCTGGGGCGAAGCAAAGCCGGTGGTGGCAGCAGTCCGCGGCAAGGAGGACGAACTGGTTCGGTCCTATACGAGCGAGGGCGTTCAAGTGACCCGGGTAGTGGCCTGGCGCATCGACGAGATACAGGGAGCCGTCTTTGAAGTAATCGACGGCTTTCGGGAATGGGCCAAGTGGGATGTTGTTGGAGAAATCTTCGTAGTGCACTTTTTGGCCTTCAGGGAGAGCGAGGACGTCGCTCTCCGGATTGAGGGGGTAAGGAGAGGCTAGTTCTTCAGCCGCGCCGCCTCCCACGACTAACAGGGCGGATGGGAAATGCGTGAGGTCACCAACATGATCAAAGTGCAGATGGCTGGTGGGAGGAGGCCTCAGTATTGCGACGACTATAGGGGAATATGATTTACTCACCTGTATATCACAGTCCCTATGTCCTCTGATTTCACGCCTCCAGCCTCCAATATTTCGACGAGGTCTTGTCTGCATTTGATCCACAAGGGGGCAATGCGTTTCTGTATACCCGGAGGATAACCTTTTCCATGCTGATGCATCGACCGAGCTCAGCAACATCGAAAGGTCAACGTAACCACTACGCACCTTTCGTAGGCCAAGATCGAACAGAAGCCGACCGTGTTGTTCATGCTGGACAAGGAAGGAGAACGACGGAACGCGTCGCCCCGTACCAGCCAGTCGCTCACTGCCATTGGCAACGCCGGGACCTTGCTGTGCACAATCTTCGAACACCTGGTTATCGGACAAGTACAACGACCCCACTGGAATGGCTGAGATGGACAGGTACGTTTGAGAAGCCGTATCTGCCGGCAAACTCCAATTGTTCTCTGCCATTTTGGTAAGAGAGTGTTGCGTGGCCAAGAGGGGCTGAGAAAAGTGACGATCTGACTAAAAAGTTTCAGGGCAACACACGCGCACGCGCACTGGGCCAGTAATCAATTGCAATTAATGCCAACAGTTCGCATCAAAGCGATCATCCAAACGCGTCTTGATCAGTACTAGTACTAGTACTGACAGCAGGTCTCAGCATGCGGTGGCCGGTGGCCAGATTGTCGGGCCCATCGCTTCAGGAGGGATTGGTTAGTTTAAGGGGGTATGAATGCACCATGTAGCACAACCTTCATGGCCTTATGGTCTAGTAGTATGATTCCTGCTTTGGGTTGTATCAATTCGATACACAAGATTGCAGGAGGTCACGGGTTCAATTCCCGTTGAGGCCCTTTTGCATGTCTGCCCGCAGACATGCTCTTTTTCTTTTCTTTCTCGTTTGGCCAGAGACAGCGTGTGCTTTTGACGTCGGACTGTGTGGCCCTGCTCGTTGCCTAATTGAGTGGCGCAGCATCCCAGCGTCCCATACTATAAAAGGCCCCAGAACTTATGGCTGACCAGAAACTCGTTCCCTTCCTTCTTCCACTACTTAGCTCATAGTGCTCGCCTGCTCACATCTGGAACTCAAATGGAACGACCATTTTACTTGATCTCAAACCTTGATCTCGAGGAATCAATGCTTCAGTATCTTACAGACTGTCCCGTGTCTCCCACAAAATGCGCGACTTTGGCCCAGGCATCATTCCCTTCCAAGCTGAACGAATATAACCTCATGGAAAATATAACTGGCAACTCGGCTCATGAGGGTCGCGCATCCAATGCTTCAAAGGACAAGGATGTCAGCCGCTTCGCCTCTGCTACTCTCGCCGAAATGAGTGTTGACTTCGTTCCAACACCCCTCTGTGAGTTTGGCCTGTTCCCCTCAATGATGTTTCCCTAGGGCTCATTTTTATCTCCCTTCGCTATTTATAGCTTACTGTCCCTCACCCGGCAGTTCTGATCAGTCGGGAATGCATCAGGCCCTGGACGCAGAACGCACTATACAAGAACTGGAAGCCTTGCTCGCGATACACACATACTCTAGGCTTCCGATTGCCTCTGGCTTTCTCAATCTTCATCAGATAGGCGACGCTTGGATTTTGCCCTCACCGCCCCGGGCCACGCGATTAGCCAGTTCCCTAAACACTCTGCAGGATGCATCTCACGAAAATGTCTGCAACTCTCCATTTGTCAACATCCCCATGTCTGCGCTCCAACCGCAGATTGGCCGTTCCGACAGTGCCAATATGGTGCCTGATATGGCCTCACACCCAATTGTTCACCACCGAAACCTGCACGATATCGCGCAGGCCCATACCGCCCCATCTCTTGATATCATTGCGCTCCAACCACAGCTCGACAGCAGCGCTACGACGCGCTCCGATACCTACTGGGACTCTACCACCGGTGGCTCAACGGTACAGCACAACTCTTCAGGGATCACGCCAACTCTGGAGAAGCTAGAAATTTCTTTCGCGCCATCCTCAGATTGTGACGATGAGTCACAAGCTGTCCTTGATCCTCGTTCAAACTTCGGCACTCCCGTTCGCGTGAGGCTTTCTCCTAGGGTTACACTGGTTGGACCGCGCCCGAAGACTATGTCTAATCGCAATATGAATCTCCCTGTACAAGGCGCTCTGTCCGAAAATCCTACGCTGGCCTTTGAGGCACAGAAGGATAGACCATCGCCGCAGACAATCTTGGATTGGCCTGCAGTATCACCTAGACAGCGTGATCCCGACGTGACCAACGGCCTTTCTGGATCTTATTGGGACCTTTCAGTTCAAGTCGCCTGCGGGCCGGATGCTCTTACACCACACAATGGTTCTTTTTGGTCCATTGGTCAAAGGCGGCCGAAACGGAAGAATGTTGATGAATCGGGGCGTAAACAGTCAAAACGTCTGTGCTGATTTAACTTGGCTATATAACAGTGCGAATGTGCCGCTTGACGATCTAAATTAAACGTGGTGCACAATACGACACTTCCACCATATGTATCAGATAGAACTAAATATTAGAATTCAGTTCCGAAGATGATGTTCACTGTTACTCGTTGCATTGCAGCAGCCTAAATCAATACTAACATAATTCAAAGCGCTAAATTCACCAGCCCTTATAATACCAGCTCTACCTCCTATTCCTACCCGTCATGCAATAAACACGCAGACAACACCATCAACAAACGCGCCGGATCATCTAGATCGGTACACCGCTGGTGGCTGTGCTGCGAGGGCCCGGCGCAAATTCACTGCCTCTTGAATTGCTTTCTGAGCTTCCTCCCGCCGACCAAAATCTGGAAGAGAAGGGATAGATTGTGCAGGGATTACATAAGAAAGATACGTGTTAAACATCGCTGGTCACTCTGACGCCAGAACACGACGTAACGTCACCTGAATCGCGGCTGAACCATCCTCCAGCTGACCTAGATCTAATTAGCGGATGGATAAGGTGTTGATGGACGTAGGTAGGTTGGCATTGAAGCTTGAAGCTTTAATGGATTTGAATGTTTGGGCGTTCACGCGTTCACGTGGCAGACGTCAACGCTTTAGGACGCGCTTACTGATCCCGAATGTTCAACTTTCATCGGAGCCCTTCTGGCTCTTCCCTGGGTACGAGACAACTGTGGCGCATAACGATACAGACTGCTGAGATCTGTCAAATATCCGTAGTACATTGCTCCAACCGTCTTCCAACGACCGACTGTAAGGCAAGAGCCATGCAAACACCCACCACGATCCACATAACCGCCCGGACCTTCACAGGCAAATCGTTTCCCATCGATGTGGAACCGACCCATACAGTAGACGAGTTAAAGGCCCTGATTTTGGCTGCAGGGCAGGGAAAACATGTTAAGGTCCCTGGGTTGGAGTATAAAGGCCATGAGCTGCGCGATACCAGGAGGGTCGACCATTATGGGCTAGCAGCCAATGATGTCTTGCACATAGGTGAGTGCGGTCATCTTGTACGAACATTTACATTCGATGCTGAATGTGGCAACATGGCGCAGTGCCGCCATCGAAGGTGCCAAAGATTGCACTCGAACTCGTTCGAGAGGACGGCTCAGTCTTCGATATCACTGTCAGCTCTGGCATCACGGTCGCGAAGCTGAAGGAAGAGATCGACATTGAGGAGAATATCGCAGTTCGGCAGCTGAAACTCGTGAATAGCCAGAGAGATGGGGATGGGGAAGAGGTGGTCACGCTACTGGAGGTGCAGGATGATAAGGCTATCTCTGAATACTCGCTCGAGGGGCAGAAGGTACTCGTGGATGGTGAGCACCGATGTCCAATCGCATGGTTAACGCCAGCTGATGACCATTGATTCGGTGTGGGAGGCAGTCTCGGCCCTCTCTGTCATCGACATCCTGGTCTCCGTCGATGACCGGATAGAAGATGCGGAGGGAAGCCGCATCGGGGTCGTAGTCAGGCTGGATCAGACGATGGGTTCCTTTAAGGAGCTTCTATTAAATAGACATTCCTTTCACTGCGCCGAGCATTCTCTTATCCTCAACGGCCACGAGCTCAAGGACGACGAACAGACGCTGGGAGATCTTGGTGTCGTGAGGGGGTGCACTGTCCATGCTGGTAAATAACCTTCCTATGCCGTCTCCCCTGCTCACGCTCAATGTGTGGCCTATAGTTGCGGCGGTACAGTTCTCTGTGGTGACACTAGCAGGCAAATACTATGGATTTACGCTCAAGGCGACCAGACGCATCTCCTATATCCGCAAACTGCTGCGCGAGGTGGATGCGGACGTGGGAGACCAGGATGACTGCGCGTTCTCTTTGGACGGGGTGCACATGCTACTGGAGTCGCACACGTTATGGGACCTCAACATATATTTCGGGACGGCGTTCATTCTCAGTGGGTACCATCCGCGATATGCATATATGCATCATTCTGAGCCCTCTACTTCTTACAGAGGACCGTCGTTTCATCACTCTCTTCATCCAATACTTCGGCCTCGCTTCCAATTTCCATGAACGCTTGGGCATGAAATTCGATGACAAGATCTCCATCGATGGTAGTGCAAGTCTCGACGACCTCCGAGCGCAAATTTTAGGCACGGTGCCTTCTTCTGCTAAATGGATTTTTCAACCGCCAAACCAAGTCTACTTATCCCACCGGCGCAGGCCATTAGATGGCACGCGCACGATTAGGGAGGAGCGGCTGAAGTGCGGGGACGTGGTGGATATCACTTTGCTGCCGCTTGAACGAAGGATTCCCGAGGAAGTTGAAGAGCGAGAGCAAATGGACAGTGATATATCTCTCCTAGCTGGTCAGTCACAAACTATCTCAATCTCATGGCTAAGATTCTCAACCACAACTCTACCCATCTACACCAGCTCATCTCTCGCACCTCGGTGGTGGCTATTATGCGCGTTTTGAGCGGCTGGCGGATCTGGCGGATCTTGAGAATGCGATTACGATGGAACAGCAAGCCCTCGCACTCACTCCGGATGGTCACCCCGACAAACCAGCTCGCCTCACAGCCCTCGGTTTCAGTTATGACACACGCTTTGAGCGGCTGGGGGATCTCGCAGATATCGAGAATGCGATTACGGCGGAAATGCAAGCCCTCGCACTCACTCAGGATGGCCACCCCGATAAACCAGGTCATCTCATAGCCCTCGGTTGCAGCTATTACATGCGCTTTGAGCGGCTGGGGGATCTGGCCGATCTCGAGAATGCGATTACGACGGAAACACAAGCCCTCGCACTCACTCTGGATGGCCACCCCGACAAGCCAGATCATCTCTCATTGCTCGGTGTCAGCTATTCCGCGCGCTTTGAGCGGCTGGGGGATCTGGCCGATCTCGAGAATGCGATTACGACGCAGCAGCAAGCCCTCGCACTCACTTCGGACAATCCAGATTATCTCTCCCTGCTCGGTGCCAGCTATTCTACGCGCTTTGAACGGCTGGGGGATCTCGCGGATCTCGAGAATGTGATTACGACACAGCAGCAAGCCCTCGCGCTGGCTCCGGATGACCACCCCGCCAAACCAGCTCATCTCGCAGACCTCTCTACGAGCTATTCCGCGCGCTTTAAGCGGCTGGGGGATCTCACGGATCTCGAGAATGCGATTACAATGGGTCAGCGAGTTCTCGTGCTGACTCCAAATGACCACCGCCACCGACCAGCTCGTGTCTCGAACCACAGTGGCAATTATTATGCGCGCTTTAAGCGGCTAGGGGATCCCACTGATCTCGAGAATGCGATTATGACAGCGAAATAGCTGCACAATCAGACCGTCTCCCAGTAATTTGCTGAAGGCATCCCGACATTGGGCAGGCTTATCTTTAATTTCACGTGATGTTGTCGGCCTTGCAGGCCTGTCGCGTGGCTGGGA